TTATATTTAATCTTGGTCTTATTAATTTTTATTTAGTTAAAAATAATATAGATTAAGAAGAAACTATAACTTCATTATTTTGGAAAATCTATTATAATCCTCTAATCTATAAAATTGCCTTGCAATTTTTAGGTTATTCTTTATCTGCATTTTAAAAAACCAACTTAAACTTATTTTAAACCCAAACTTTAAAAACATCTGTATTAGTTTTAGCCTATATGAATGACACTCTTTGAATTGCAAAGTCTAAAAAGAAGCTTAATCTAATAACCAAAACTGCTATATTCTTTTATCAAATAGCCAATATCCAGATTAATCTAACAAAGTTTATTTTAGTTACAAACTCCTCTACTACTTCTATGTGGTTTTCTGGATCTCTAATTTATTTTATTTCTAAAAATCAACCTTTCAAGTTTCTTGAATATTGGTTTATATTTAATAACAAATAATTTCAAACTATTAAACTAATAAAAGAAGAGGCATATAATCCTATCAATATCACTAGTACAAAGAAAATTACTAACAAACAAATTGCTTATATTATCAATACAGTAATTATTTCAATCTTAAAATATAGATTATATAAGACTATTCTTTCTTATATTACATGTAACCAAATCTTATTCAAATATCTTACTGTAGCAAAACACAAGTCTTATCTTTCTAGATTTATATCAAATAGCATAAGGCTTAACCTATATTTATATAATATTTATAATATATAGGACATTTAACTTTGTCATTATATCTTTAATTACCTTTAACGAATCAATAACTTAATCTTCTTGACATTACAACTCAAATTAGACTCAACAATTACAAAACAACTTATGGTTCCCTATTAATATTTTATATCTTTCTAAACTAATTATTGATGGCTCTAACAAACACTTACTAAACTTTAAAATTATTCAATATTTTATTCATCTTGGCTTAGTAATCTCAGCCAATTCTAATATTATATAGGCTTATACAATTAGTAATAAAGGCTAGTCACTAGAATCAATTTTATCTTAGTATTCTAAATATCAATTTTTAAAAAGCAACTTAGATAATCAAATATTATTTATCTCAAACAACTTTGTATAGCTGATAACAGTATCTTATTAGACTGGAAACATCTTTTATCTAAACTTTTATACTTATCTAAAGAAAAAAAACCCCTTAGGTTTTTCTACTTAAAAGATACAATTCTAGCACACTCTTACTACTAAAATATATTACTATACTACCAATCATCTGGTCATAACTTTTATATCTATTATAATATTAATATATCTAAAAAACTCACAAAATCTAAACTTTGATTACTTTTATATCACAATAAAAAAATTATTATTAGAAAAATATAAAAATACTTCTCCTTATCTAACTATTACTCTATCACTTACTGGAGTTTCAATATAGATTTAAATTACTCAAAATTCTATCCTCTACCTTCTGCTAAATACAAATGATATACAAAATGCCACTTTAATTCTTACAAAATTAACCAAACTTGTACTGTTAAAGTTTCTGCAATTATTTTAATACAATTTCTTAGTAGAATTAATTTCAAACACCAACTCAAACTCAATACAAATTACTTGAATCTTATCTGCTCTACTGCTATCAAGCATTTAATCTGTATTTCTCTTCTATCTATTATTTTTATTTCTAATTCAATTGCTTCTGAAATCTTTATTTCAAGTGAAGCTACTAACAAACTTATATTTATCTTTTATCTTAACCACTCTTACTAACAACTATTCTTTTATACTAATAGCTCAGTAATTAATATTAGTACTGATCAATGCACAATGGGTATTAGTTGAATTCAAGTTAATAATAATAATCAAACTTTTAACTCTTTTTTTGCTAAAATACAATTCTGGTCTCATTATATAAAGCTGAGCTTTTCTCAATTGTTACTGCAATTTTAACAGCTCTACACAATTTAGAAACAATAATGAACATTTTGATGTTCTGTTCTTTCATTTCTTAAAACAGTTGTGATCTGAACTAGCATTTTTAATAGATAGAAATAAAAGGTATAAACATGTTACCAAAAAGTTTATAATTTAAATTGTTATTTTTTTTTATACCTTAATATATTAAATAAAAATATTTTTTTACAGTTATCCCTTATTTATATCAACCTATTTGGATCACTTTTATATTCATATTGATAGTAATATTAGTAAGGGAACATATTAAAGTTAATATATATGAGAAAGTATTAATAAGTATAATTTAATATATAGAAATTTATTTTATAGCTTAGGTTGATATTAACAAGGCTAATATTAATAAGAGACAATTGTATAATTTTTAAATCATATAAAGATAAAGGATGAACATTTATAGATATAGATATATACAATTAGTACTCTGTAAAATCAAACTAAATTTTGAATTTGAATTAAATATTTGATCAAATTAATTAAAATTTGTCAAATAATTTTAAATATTTGATTCAAATTCAAAATATGATTCAGTTTTGTAAAGTACTATATACAATCTAAAAAAAGCTAATGGATATCAAAATACATATTACTTACCTGAACATTAGTTGGATGATAGTGATTTTTTGCTTTTATTATATTTAAATAATGTGGTATCAAGTAATTATATACAGTAGACCAAAAAAGATGTTCATCATATTTTGACTTTAGTGCCTCCTGTAAGTGAATAACTGTTTGGATTTTAATAACTTCTTTTTTTCTTTTGCTATCAGCAGCACTGAATTTTATACTTTCATGAATATGCTCTAATAAGTCTAAATATTTGTGCAAAACAGAAGAGTGCCCAGGCAAGCCATATTTTACAACTTGCTGATGCTTATTTAAATCTTGATCTTTTTTTTCTCTACATTTGCACTGGTAATTTGCATTTTTTTTTAGACTTTGCAGTTTTTTATCTTCATTATTGAGGACTTGTGTAAGGTTCTGTATATGATTTATTAGCTCATATTTAGGCTCTAAATCAGTTGTCGAATTATATTCTTCTTGATATTTGGCAATTTTCTTATTTGTTCTAATGATGATTTCTTTTACTTTTTTTTGTACTACAGCATTTAGTGTGGTGCACTAGGAACAATGATTTTCTCAGTTATTTTATTTTGGATTGAAGTAGCAGTATTAAATATTAGACAGGATTTAGATATTGGGTAATAGAGGCAGCATCTTTAATAAAGTATCTAATGATATTTTCAATTTCATTTTTGGGCTTTAATTTAATTTTATTTCATGCATCAAGGACTTTTTTGCATACTAAATCTTTTGAATATTTAGGATCCTTGGTGCTAATCATGTGATTGTATGCAAAGTCATTGCAAAATCTTTGGTATTGCATGTCTGCTTTTTTGTAAATATAAAATTTGTTGTATTCTAACATATTTGAAGCTTGAATTTTAAGAATTAATAAGGATGCAAAAAAAAATTAAAATAAAAAATAAAAAAAAGTCAAAAAGAAAAGAAAAATTGGAAGAGAAGACTAATAAAAAGAAGAAAATAGAACAAAGGAAGAGTTAAAAAAGAAAAAACAAAAAATAATATAAAGAGAAAAAATGAAAAGCAAAAAAAAATTCAGAGGTTACTATTGACTATAGATCAAATAAGAAAAAAAAGTAATCAAATGAGTATCTTAAGTAGATTAATAGAATATTTTAGTATTACAGGTTGTTATAGTAGAATTCAGTCATATTTATAATGAATAAAGCAATATACTAACAATTGGCTATACATTTTGTTAATTATTTACAATTAAAGTTCATGCAATTATGAAGCAATTCTATTTATTCAAGTTCAGAAAGTGGTTATAACAATATCTAGCTCATGTCTGTAGGTATTTTATTTTTTCTGTGCAATATATTTTATTATTTTTTAATATAGTTTAATTTTTAAACATTTTTACATTGTTACAGATAAAAAAAAAACTTAAATACTATGTTCAATGTATATAAAGAAAGTTTACTTTTTTTAAAAAAATTTTTTATAATTATCTTTTCTTTAATAATTTAACAAACAGGATATTACAAATTATATTTAATGTATCCAAAAGAATTTATATTAAATATACCTGTCCTTTATTAATGTTCTTTATTAATATAATAGATAGAAGATATACCTGAAGTAAATTTGTTTTAAATCACTTCTTTTTTATTATATTTGACATAATTGATAAATTTTTTTAATAGTTTAATGAATAGGTTGTGCAGCTAATTTTACATTTAATGTATCTGAAGAAAATTTAAATATTATTTTTATTAAAACTTTTGTTTTTTTATAATTGAATTTCTTAATATATAGATGGTGCTGCCGATTTACATCCAAAAATTTCAATTTTTTAAAACAGTTAAACAGCATGAGATACCACTAATCTACATTCGATAAGTTTGAAGAAATTTTTAAACTCTTAAAAACAGATAAATGGCAAGAGATACTACTAATTTACATTCAACAAGTTTGATAAAATTTTCAATTTTTTAAAACAGTTAGAAGACCTTGCATCTATATTCAATACATTTGAGGAAACAATGAAATACTGTCAGGCTTTAACTTAGAAAAGATAAGTTCTTAATTTGTCTTAAATTTCTTAAAATAGTTAAATAGACAAAAGGCATCATATAGGTATATTCAATGCATATGAAGAACAATAGAATACTTCTGAGCTTTTTTCTAAAATGCAGTAACCAATAAATTTCTCTATTCTGCACTGACCTTTGTTTTATACATATAACTTCCTTTTGGGAAGTTTATTTTTGCATTGGTTTTATTTTTTAACAATGTGCTGTTATACTACTGACAAACTATTAGAAATAATTTGTAAAGATATTGTACAGTGCAAAGACAAATATATTGCTGTTGCATATAACAAATTTAGCCTGAGAATTAGGTACTTAATCTGTAATTTCGATATTTTAAACTAATTAATATATTTTTGC